GAAAACCCCCCGGCCCCGGCCGGAGGGGGGGGGGGTAGGGGAAGGGTCACAGGCCTCTGGGTCCTGGGGGGGGGGGCCCAAATCATTCTTGACAGGCAATTGGCTAGTGTGTGTATATATATATATTTCCCTTCAAACTGAAAATAAGATGTTTACATTCCAGGGATTTTTGCTGCTGAGATTAACATCTATGTTTACAGATTCACAGTATTTCCGTGCATGCAACATGCCCCAGAATATCATTCACACCTTGTTTTTGAAAGGCAGAATGAGGAAAAAAATCTTTCCTTGTCGTAAGTAACTGAGTAGTAGCAGCTAGGGAACAGAGCAATATAAAATGCACTTCAGTATCCAGCAGCTTGTTTTTTTGGAGAAAAACTATATGCTACATGTGAGAAAATATGGAAGAAAGCAGTTATCAGACTGGTTCCCAAAATGTTGGATTACATTAAGTTATCAGTGTCTATGTATCTTAATGTAAGTATATGCTAAACTTGGCCACTTTCATCCCTAAGGACCTTCTGATGATATAAGGAGCAACTTTAGTTTTGCTCTGCATTAAAGACATGATAGAAGCATCCTAGTGCTGCAGGGATTCATTCATCATAAACTAAAATTTATTTACTTTACCCCTAAATATATCACCTAAGTGACACTGGAGTTTACCTAAAATTGTGGGTGGCACATGTTTGTTTTTGCTAATCAGAATGTACTGATTACATTAGTCATTTTGCCCATTGGATCATATTCCAAACAAAGGATTATATCTAACTATTGCTACTTATGTGATGTTCCCACTGAAGTCAAGGTCATCCAATTCCAGTGGTTGTAAGGGGCACAAATTGCCTCATGGTAGAGCAGGAGGTATTTGCAATACTACCGTTTTATAAGGCTTTTTTCCACCTTACTATCTATGGGTGGAGCTCCAGAGTAACAGGACTGCCCATGTACCACCTTAGCCAGGGGCACCTGCCCAAGCCTCTTCTGCCAGCTATTTCTGGGGAATGCTCTGACTGCTCCAAAACTCCTGAGACAGGAGGTTGCTGCTGCCTTGCACCACTTCAAGGTTCTTCTGCCCTGAGGCATATTTTTCTGTTGCATGGAGGCATGGTTGAATCAAATCCAGGACCGCCAAAGGTCTGATTTCAATTTTTAGTGGCCATAAGCAAATCCTAGCCTTCAGTGGACAGCTTTTCATGGATCTGGAAATTAAGTGGTGCCAAAATGGCAGAGTTTGCATACACTTTCCAACCTGTTCCAAGTGCGCTTAATCTTTGGCTCGTTCAGCCTGCAAATCTCTGTAACTCTGGTCTGGTCAGTGTTGTTGTCTTCTCGAGAAGGCGTTGGGCTCTGACAGTCAAAGGCTTGATTTGGCCTTGTACCTCAGACACCTATTTCACACTTGCTTTGCACAGCTGTAAATGTTACTAAACTGATCTGGTAGTATTTTACACAACTCTGCTTGGGTGTAAATGATTGCATGAGGTGAAGAGCTGCAGAGAGTCAAGCCTCAGGCTGCTTTGTCTAAATAGGCAACAAACTGGACTAGTTTTCCAATAGGAAACTGATTAGTTTTCCTGTTTGGCTTAACCTGTTGGAGGGAGCCATCAGTTCACCAAAGATAGTTTTAACAAGGCTCAGCAAAGTCTGCAGACAGAGGTTTGCACAATCCTTGGTGACACTAAGGCTGAGGTATGGAGCATGAATGGAAGACCCTGTCCCACTACAAGTGCATTGTGGGACCTCTTCCCAAAAGCTTCAGTGATTAAATTTCCCTTTCAGGTTATTCTATAGAGCAAATAATGGGGAATAAAAGAGGATGCAAAACCTAAGTAGCTTTTCTGGATGCCTTTTTGGCATTAACTCATCTTTCTCTGATGCTATCTTTGTCTTCCTTTCAACTTTTACCAGTAGTTGGTCCATAGTAAACCTTCACGTTTTCTTTATAGCTCACACTGCCTTTATACCCATGTACATCCACTGACTTAAATGGAGTAACTTCTGTCTTATGCCAGTGTGAAAGAAGCAGCCTGTTCTTGGCCTGATGCTACCATCAGGTATCCCAGTGTGTAAATTCATAGTCATTGCGGTAAATCAAATCAATCAAAGTCCCCAGTTCAGCAAAGCATGTGAGCATGTACTCAGCACAAATGTACAGTATTTTAGCATGTGCATTAAGTTAAGCATTTGTTGAAGTGATCTGCTGAATTTAGGCTCAAGGGCTAACATAAACAGATGATGATAAGCTGCAGGTATTCTGCACTCCTGATCGCTAAATTTATCTTGATGAGAAATGAAAACTAAAAGCCAGCATAACTTACTGTGGTAAGTATGGCAAAGTGTTACATTACCAACGTTGTGAGGCACCCTGATCCAGGAGTGGTAGCACTCTGTTGGGAATCATACTGACTAGTTCTGAGTTTTATGCCTGATGCAAGTCATTTTTGCCTCTAATTTCCTTCCTACATTTTGTCTGTCTTGTCCTTTTAGGCTGTGAACATGCTGATGGCATGTTTTTACCCTGCAGCAAGTGCAAGGTATCTTATTTTGTTTTTTGCATTTGTCATGTGGTAAGAATGTACACATGGACTATTGTTGCAGAGTAGCTAATGCTCTGCTAGTTTATATCCTGGCTTACCTTCTGGTTCCTTATTTGTGTGCCTATACCCTTAGGGTGTTTATAGACATGCTCCGGGAGGCAGGAGAGCTTTAATTAGTGCAGCTCCAAGAGCCACGCTAATTGAAGTGCCCAGAGCATCATGTGTATCAGTGTCCCCGCGCTTGAACAATGGAGGTGGGGCACTTTGAACTAAAGCTCATTGAATGAGCTTTAGTATAAAGTGCTCTGCTGCTATTTTTCAGTACAGGAATGCTGATGCACATGATGCTGGAGTGCGGTAATTAATCACGTTTGCTCTGACGTGCTGTAATTACAATGCATTGGAGCAGCCTCCCTGCATGTGTATAGGCACCCTTAGACTTTAAACCTTCAGGACAAGAGCTTTCTTGGGCTGTGTGCATTTTGGGTATCCACCAGAACGGTGCTTCAGTCTTGATTTTGGCATCAATGTATTGTAATAAATATAATAACTGTTAGAAATAAATTGAACAAAAAATGTATTAGCAGGGGAAAAACAGATGCTACTAGTTTATTTAAAAGTATACTTACATTTTTTCCTTACAGCTCTACAGTGTTCAAAGGAGATAGTGCCCATTACAAAAAGCTATGTTTTTATTGAATGTTTTGCTGAGCTCAAGAATCTAAAAGTAAACAGTAACTAAAAAAAATTAAACCTGTTTCCTTCTTTTCTGAAATCTCTGTCACCGCAGGTCCTCCAACTGGGCTCTGAAATCCTTCCACAGTACAAGCAAGAGGCACCAAAGACCCCACCACATATCATTTTACATTATTGTGTTTTCAAGACGACTTGGGACTGGATCATCCTGATTTTAACCTTCTACACAGCTATTTTAGTCCCTTACAATGTCTCCTTTAAAACCAAACAGAACAACGTGGCCTGGCTGGTAGTGGACAGCATTGTTGATGTCATTTTTTTGGTAGACATTGTACTTAACTTCCATACCACCTTTGTTGGACCAGCAGGAGAGGTCATCTCGGATCCTAAGTTGATCCGCATGAACTACCTGAAGACCTGGTTTGTGATTGATTTGCTTTCGTGCCTGCCATATGATGTCATCAATGCCTTTGAGAATGTTGATGAGGTCAGTATCCTAGCCTCATTTCCACTGCTTATTTTTCTCATTTTAATGTTTGCCAAAAAAGGAATACACACACACATAACACACACCCATCCATATATGTATCTATGTATTAAGCCAACTTTATATATAACCAGCAGACATATATAAAGTTGGCTTAATATGTATGCATCTCTCTCCAGTGGTGCCCCCACATATATAAAGGTCTGCTGCTTATTCATAGCTAAAAGGTTTCATATTTAGCTCCAGCGATCTTGATGTTGGGGTGGAAAGCAACCTGTTTAAATTCGCTGATGACACCAAAATTTGGGGGGAGGTGAGCACGCTAGCAGGGAGAGAGAGATTGCAGAAGGATCTGGATAGGTTACAGGGGTGGGCAAACAGGAACAGGATGTGTTTCAATACGGACAAGTGCAGGGTGCTGCACTTGGGTAGTAGGAACCAGCAGCACACTTATACGATGGGGAACTCCCTACTTGAGAGCACGGAGGCGGAAAGGGATCTTGGTGTCATTATTGACTCCAAGATGAACATGGGCCGACAATGCGAGGTCATGGTCGGCAGGGCTAACAGGACCTTGTCGTGCATCCACAGGTGCATCTCGAGTAGAGCCAGGGAGGGGATCCTCCCCCTCTATGCGACGCTGGTCAGGCCGCAGCTGGAGTATTGTGTCCAGTTCTGTGCGCCCCATTTCAGGAGGGATGTGGACAACATGGAGAGGGTCCAGAGGAGGGCCACCCGCATGATCCGGGGACAACAGGGCAGACCCTACAGTGAGAGACTGCGGGACCTGAACCTATTCAGCCTCCACAAGAGAAGGCTGAGGGGGGACCTGGTGACCGTCTATAAACTCACTAGGGGGAACCAGAAGGGTTTGGGGGAGACGCTGTTTCCCCTAGCCCCCGCTGGCATAACAAGGAGTAATGGGCACAAGTTGATGGAGAGGAGGTACAGATTGGACATCCGAAAAAACTACTTCACAGTTAGGGCGGCTAGGAGCTGGAACCAACTTCCAAGGGAGGTGGTGCTGGCCCCTACCCTGGGGATCTTTAAGAAGAGGCTGGATACCTACCTGGCTGGACTCATTTGAGTCCCGTTTTTGTTTTTAGGGTTTTTTGTTGTTCTCCCGCCCTGGCGGGGGGTCGGGCTAGAAGATCTATTAGGTCCCTTCCGACCCTAAAACTATGAAACTATGATAGGGGCCTGTGGTTTGGTTGTTGACACTGAAGGTCCTTTTGTGTTGTCTTTCCTTGTACATTCTCAAAGCTCTGCAATAGAGGCTAGAATAGCAGTTCCCAAACTCTGACAAATTGTGCACCATCAATTTAAAATGAAACAACTTTAAGTACCACCAGGTGTGGTGTAGGTGTGTGTGTATGGTAGGGTATGTGGGAGGTTTGTGAGGGGATGCGGCTGTGTGTGTGGGAGAGCATAGGGTATGTTGGTGGGTGTTGGAGACAGGGTGCATGTGTGGGGTTTGTGGGGTGTGGGGAGCCCTGCACTCTGCCCATGGCACAGCAGGAGGAGGGGGTGCTGAGGGTACCCAGTGAGGCATGGCTTCAGCCAGCACTGCACATCGCAGCAAGGGGTGTATCCTCCGCCAGGCAGTCTGTATTGCTGGTGCTCCCTGTACTTGCTGGGCATGGGAGGGAAGCCCCATGCGCTGGAGCCGGCTGCCTTCCCCACCCCTCAGGGGAAGGTGTCTGGCGCTTACTTCCTGTGCCTGATGAGTGTGAGAGCTGCATGTGTGCTCAGGGAGTGCTGGTGATACAGATGGCCTGGCAGAGGATGCACCCTTTGCTGTGATGTGCAGTGCTGGCCAGAGCTGCTCCCCACCAGGTGCCTGCACTGGGCACAAGTGCCCTGAGCACCCTTGCCTGCTGCTGCCGTGTACCACTGACAGGTTGTCTGTGTACCACTGGTGGTACATGTACCATAAATTGGGAACCGCTAGGCTACAAAGTGGAAAGACAAATCTGTCACAGAGAAATCTGCCTAAAACCAATTTACAGTGATGGAACAGGCTAGATACTACCTACTTTGAAGACCCTAAGTTATCATCTTAAAGATAGTCTTCTGGGCCAGGGATTCTCTAGCTCCTTTGTAGTATAAACCACAGCTTACAGCAGCGATGCCAACTAATGTGGAAAACTAACATCAGGAAAAGCATTCTGTATTTTTTCAGTAGTCTATAATGCAGTATTGCAGCTGGAGAGGATAATATGGCAGCATAGGGCTCTCTGGACCACCAGTCAGCGCTTTGAAAACCAGTCAGTGCAGCATGGTTTGGGAACTGCTGTTATAGGGGCTTTGAACATACATGTTATTTGAAGCTGTCATGTTAAAGCTTGTCTAACTTTTCATACAAGGAGAAGTTAGAAAGGCCAAAGCTACCATGGAGCTGAGGATGGCATCCCAAGTTGAGGATAACAAAAAATTGTTTTTCAGATATATAGGGAGTAAAAGGAAGGCCCTGGGCGGTATAGGACCACTACTGAATGGGCAAAAGCAATTGGTGACAGACTGGGGGAACAAGGCTGAACTCCTCAATGAGTTCTTTGCCTCAGTGTTCCTAAATGAGAGGCAAGACAAGTCTCTCACTGGGATTGTAGAGAGGCAACAGCAGGGCACCAGACTACCAAGCATTGACCCTGAGATGTTGCAGAGTCACTTGGAAGGACTGGATGTGTTTAAGTTGGCAGGCCCAGATGAGCTCCATCCGAGGGTACTGAAGGCACTGGCTGACGTCATTGCACAGCCACCGGCAAGAATATTTCAGTACTTGTGGTGCATGGGCCAGGTCCCGGAGGACTGGAAAAGGGCCAATGTGGTCCTTATTTTCAAGAAGGGGAGGAAGGAGGATCCAGGCAACTATAGGCCAGTCAGTCTCACTTCCATCCTTGGCAAAGTCTTTGAAAAGATGATTAAAACTCATATATGTGAGAGTCCAGCAGGAAGAATTATTCTGAGGGGAAACCAGCACAGGTTCGTAGCAGGTAGATCATGCCTGACTAATCTAGTCTCTTTTTATGATCAGGTTACAAAACACCTGGATGCAGGAGTAGGGGTTGACATCGTTTACATAGACTTCAGGAAGGCCTTTGATACAGTATCCCACCCCATACTGGTGAACAAATTAAGAGACTGTGACTTGGATGATTACACAGTCTGGTGGGTGGCAAATTGGCTAGAGGGTCGTACCTAGAGAGTCGTGGTGGATGGGTCGGTGTTGACCTGGAAGGGCGTGGGCAGTGGGGTCCCGCAGGGCTTGGTCCTAGGACCAAGGCTCTTCAATGTCTTCATCAGTGACTTGGACGAGGGAGTGAAGTGTACACTGTCCAAGTTTGCGGATGATACAAAACTGTGGGGAGAAGTGGACACACCGGAGGGCAGGGAACAACTACAGGCAGTCCTGGACAGGTTGGACAAATGGGCAGAAAACAATAGAATTCAATTTAACAAGGAGAAATGCAAAGTGCTGCACCTAGGAAGGAAAAATGCCCAGCACGCCTACTGCCTAGGAAATGGCCTGCTTGGCAGCACGGAAGTGGAAAGGGCTCTCAGAGTCCTAGTGGACTCCAAGATGAACATGAGATATCAGTGTGACGAAGTCATCAGCAAAGCTAACTGCACTTTATCATGCATCAGCAGATGCATGACAAACAGAACCAAGGAGGTGACACTTCCCCTCTATCAGGTGCTGGTCAGACCGCAGTTGGAATACTGCACGCAGTTTTGGGCGCCACACTTCAAGAGGGATGTGGAGAACCTGGAGAGGGTCCAGAGAAGGGCCACTCATATGGTTAAGGGCTTGCAGGCCAAGCCCTACGAGGAGAGACTAGGGCACCTGGACCTCTTCAGCCTCCGCAAGAGAAAGTTGAGAGGCGACCTTGTGGCTGCCTATAAATTCATCGTGGGAGAGCAGAAGGGAATTGGTGAGGCTCTACTCACCAAGGTGCCCCGGGGGCCTATAAGTTCATCACGGGGGCACAGAAGGGAATTGGTGAGTATTTATTCACCAAGGCACCCCCGGGGGTCGGACTCGATGATCTATTGAGGTCCCTTCTGTCCCTAACATCTATGAATCTATGAGAAGGGCAGAAGAGGGAAAATGGAGCCTGCCCTCCCTGCTTGTTGACCTTCATAGGAGCCAGCCACAAGCCCTGAGGACGCATATATGAGCTATTGCTACCAAGAACTTAAAGCCACAACATGTAGCCCCTAGTAAAATGCCTTTACAATTATAACCATTTAGATTAGAATGCACAAAAAATATTTTTGGTAACATTTAAGTTTCATTTTACATGGGATTAATACATAATTAATGGATGTTTAAATAATTGGTTAATCAGTTACTAGTCCAAAAGGTTGTTTAAAACCTTCTAGTGGTATCTACAAGTATCCATGGCACATAGTATGCATGCCTTCAACATGCTTATAACCATTATGAATATCTAACTTTTATTAACCCTTTAAAATACAACTTCAGTATAAAGTGTGATTTCTGACCATCCCTGCCCCACCTCCCTTCCAAATCAAGATATTCTTTAAAGCATTGTCTAGTGACATAGCTGGATAACAACACAAAATCATGCTATTTCCTGTATTGACGCATTCAACAGGCTCTGGGAATAAATCATTATTCATCTCATTAGATCCATTTTGACTTGGGGATAGGTAGGCAAACTATTGAGGGCAGTGAAGCAAATGTAACATTATTTGATATTTAATTCCCTGGAGATGTTTTTGTTTTATATCATGCTTTAGACTAAAATACCACAAGTGAAATCACCCAAAAATAACCCATAGAAATCCTGTCCTTAAATATTTGTTTGTCAGAGATTTCCCCAGCCCTGTAGACTACTCTGCAGGGATCTGACATTTTTGCTCTTGTAGATAATCATAGTACTGCTAGCTAGACCTTTAATTGCTTTAGGTAGTCAACAGCTGGAATTTATATGCGAACAATAATAGTGTTTAAATTTTAAAAAGTGAGAAGCAGA